CCCCTGTAGCACACGACACACGACATCAGCATCCTTACCGTCCTGAGAGGATTCCGTATACTAAATACTTGAAGTTGTTCAGTGTCTGACTTAGGAGAGTTTAGAAATGTTTACACGTTCCAATCAGGCTGATGCACAGTGTAAACATTACTAATGCTACAGTAAATGTTTTTATCACTGTAGCAATACGAGACCGGGGTCCCAACAGACACTTTTTTGGGTGTAAACAAAACGAGTTCCGATCTCGTTTTGTTTACACCCAAGAAAGTGTCTGTCATAGGTTGCAAACAAAACCCATCCTGTTGGGTGTCAACATATGGTATAGATAAGAATCACCTTGTGAAGACGGCTCTATCGGTCGAGTTAATAATCGGACTGGCTACCGCAACCTTCACCGTGAGATATGTAAGGTTGCTTTAAGGACTTAAGGTTGCTTTAGTAAATTTAAAAACTCTAGCGTATAATATTCTTCAAAACTTACGTTACCTCTTAAGTTCGGCTCCTGGCGTTAAGTACGCACTTACCGTAAATAATTTCTAAGTACGTCAGCTCTGAACCGCCCATTCTCAAAATCCGAGTAACGAGGTCGACACACGGCAACGGCGACGCTGCGGGACTCGTTGTACACGGCGAGGGATACAGAGTACACAACGCGTGAAGGCCAGCCGTTCATGACTCCGGAGAAGAAGGGGCGTTGGCATCCATGAGCGGTAAGCTATGGCGACTGTGTAGAACTTTGATCGCGATTTCTGTTAACTAATACTGTGGGGTTGGTGTCGTAGACCGACGCTTACGAAACTAATTCAAGGGTAGTGATGCGCCACACTACGCTCAACTAACGCTCGGCATCGAGAAGGATCATTCCAGTGATGAAGATTTCGCTCCAGGCGACGAAGGCGCCGTCTTCGACGACCATAGAGGGTTGAAAACAAGAAAGCAAAGCGGCAACTATTAAAATCGTGTGAAAACTTCTTCTCGGTTACCGAGTTTTTATGTATCGATTATGTTGCCATTTAGCGCGTAAACAAGCGCAAGGAATGTCGTCTAGGAAAACCGGACGATCTGGGGGAACATAAAAACTTCGGGTACGTTTATCATTCATACTCGATGATGTCATGTCAGCCAAGTTGCTGTATAATTGGCGTATGATTATGAAGTCGTTATATAGTTACCAAGACTGATTTTGGATTGCCGGAGCTAACACAGCACTTAATGCTTTGCAGATTTCAAGGCAGGAACAACGACTATAAGTGACAAGGGCAATAACACGCGATCACGAGCTCCTGAAGACGACAAATCACTGCGTAAGAAACCTAAGAAGCCCACGAAGAAAAAAATCGAAGCGGCCTGATATTGTGGACATATTGAAGATGTGGAGACTGGCGAGAATGTGGAGAACGTGGAGACTGGCGCGGAAGTGGAGAACGTGGAGAATGGCGCGGAAGTGGATAGTAACAAGAACGTGGAGAGCGCGGAAGATGGCGAGATAGTGGAGAGTGTGGAGGCGTCGCTGAGCTTGATACTATGGCAGTGCAGCAAGAAAAAATAGTGAATATCGTCGCTCCAATTCCCAAAGTACCGATCAAGTCGTGGACCGAGTTTGACACGATACTCGAATCCTATACAAAAGCCACAATCTCCATTTCCGTGTTCGCAGGTCGGATGCATCGGCAACATACAACAGGTGGGTACATTAAAAATATGGATTTTAAATATTTAAAATCTCTAACGAGCATGAACTATTTTTATTTGTAGAAATCACGCGGATGAAATACCTGCAAGTTTTCGTTGGAGCTACAGAACTTTCCACTGTACGCACGGTGCCTCACAAAATTCGCGTTCTACTGGCCAACGCAATCGCAAAGCCCGATACTGTGAGTGCTCGGCGCGCTTCATGCCGACTGTGATGAAGGTGGAGGACGGAATATACCAGATATTTTTATCAGAAATGAGGTATGTTACGTTTGTTTTGCGAAACTTAGTGAGCCATTAACATGTGTTTCCTTTTTTACTTATAGAATCACACCCACTCCCATCTCAACACGCGTGCAGATGCTCCATCATACATGACAACTAAAACGTCGCTGATTGATGAACAAGATCGCGAAGATCTCAAGGAGCTTGCCGATGCCCGAGCCTCATCCAAGCAAATTACCGACTTCCTGAACGACCGGATTGGTGAGAAAGCTTAATTTTGAGAACAAGAAGGTAACACGATAATCATAATTGTGATATATTTATTTTACATACTAACAGGCTGCAGAATTACACCACAACAAACCCGTAACCTAATTTGCAATATTGTCGGCCAAGATTCAGCAGGTGAGCGATTAAAAAGAATATTCTCCACGCTCCGATGCAGTTGAAAGGGAACGACGTTCTCGTCCAGATGGATATCACATGCGGGATCGCAATGCAAACCAAGGCGCAAAAATTAATTGTTGAAAGATGGGGCGAGACACTCGCCATGGACTTCACGCACGGCACCAACAGTCTGGGGTATCACTTGGGTACGTGTTTTACAGCAACCTTTGAACAACCTTATTTGGTTATAGCAACCTTTCAGCAACCTCAGTATGGCAACCGTGTAGTAACCTTGTGTCTAACGTCAAATTCTGGTTTGGTTATATAATTGCAGGGAGTCTTCTGGTGACTACAGCTACTGGAAGGGGATTCCCTGTTCTAGATTTCAACTGCAGGGACCAGCAGGCTGTGACTATTTCGGCTATCCTTACTTACTTCAAGGA